TATCGACAGCCTCAACAGCTTTGGGCGAGCAAGCAATGATGGCGGACTGGGGTGTAAAGCTGTCTGTCAACATAGCTATGGATGCCAGCGCGGGCTGGGAAAGGTCAAGCACATTGACACCTGCTATCTATGGGTGCAAGAGATAGTGGATCAAGGAAGAATACGCCTGAAGAAGGTCAACACGCAAGACATGCTGGCGGACCTCATGACGAAGCCTTTGGACGGCCAAACTGCTACGAAGCTACTGAGTCGAATGGGCTACACCGTCAGGTCTGGAAAGCATGAGCTGGCCTTAGGGAAGGCGTGAAGGAATACCCCAAAGAACTCGCAGGGAAAGCAAAGCCTGATCCTTACTCGGGAGGCGTGACTGGATTTGGGGTATAGTTTGGGTATGGGTCTCATGTACAGTTGTTTCACACTGACGTTACCTTTTGGCTCAAGTGCGCGGTTGCTAAAATAGCGTTGCATAATTTCTTCACCAGAGCACATACTGAACCTGGAACCGAAAAATGTTCTGAGCAAGGCGCAGATCACACGCACTGATGGAGGGTTCGGCCATAAGCCCCAAGCCCTAAAGCCCTAAACCCTGAAGCCCTAAACCCTAAAGCCCTAAACCCTGAAGCCCTAAGCCCTAAAGCCCTAGACCCTGAACCTTAGATCTTAACCCGAGATGCCCTGACCTCAACGTGTCGGCCCAAGCTGGCGTGCCAACCTCCGTTTCTGCGGGCAAGGCCTTCAGCCATGCTTTTAGGTGTAGGGTTTGTAATGGGATTGAATAGGGTTTAGGGTTGATAGGGTGTAGGGTTGATAATAGGGCCTGGCGTTTATGATGGGTTTTTGGGCTTTAGGGTTTGGGTTGTAGAGTTTCGGGTCGAGGGTCCCAGCCCTTGAGCCTACTTGAACCGACAACACGGTACTGTTTTTTTGCAAGCCCTAGCGAATTTCCGAGAAGAAACGCCCAAACCCTTAACCCTGAAACTTTAGAGCCCGATGAGACCCCAACAAAAGCTCAGCAGCCCGATAAACCGCTACCAACACCACAACAACTCCAGTGTCGAAGCCCTTGATTCAGGTCTCCAGCATGGTTCGGCGAACGGGACGACCGGTGGCTAGACTCTTCAATGGGAGTTTCTTGCTAAGTCGGGGTTCCTCTTTTCGGGGTTTGTGGGGGCTTCAGGCTTTCTTTCAGGCTTTAAGGGACAGGGTCTGTTATTCATGGTTCTGAGAGTCCTTTTGTTGTCGTCGGGACGCTCTTGTTTGGGGATCCCACGTTTGCTGCCAGCAAACTGTTTTCGAGGAGCTTTCGCTGCTTGCGCTGTATGGGTCTTCTTGGTTTTGGCCGAGGATTTCCCTTTTCGGAGAGTCAATTCGATAATCGTCCTGAGCAGTAAGCCCTTGACCCTGAACCTTGAAACCTAAACCCCCAGACCCGAAACCCTCGACTCTAGTGGTTCAGATTTGTGTCCTCGGCTTTGAGGATTTGGGGCTGAAGGCTTTGGCGGGTGGTTTTCCGATAGCGCGTCTGCGAGTCTTCACCAAACGCCCTAAACCCCTGTCTTTCGCAAGAACGCCTACAACCCTGAGCGAAAAACAGAGTAGGAGTTCATGCCTCGAATCCGGCATCCTTAATTGAATCCCTAAGCCCTGAGCCCTGGATCCCAAACTCGAAACGGATGCCGTGTAATGAATTTGGCCCCAGCCGCCGACCCTTCGTCAAGAGGTACTAAGAGGCAGCCTTCCGCAACGTCCCTCCCATTGAACTGCTTTAGAGCATAGGCAGAGGGTGTATGGTTTGCGGCCCTAGGGTTCAGGATTTTGAAGTATAAGGCTGTGATTCAGATTCTGGGATTTGAGGCGGCATTTAGGTTTTGGAGGAGCTGATTTTTGAGTTGTACTGTCTTACAAGCTCTTATGAAAACTCGATTAGAAAAACACTGCGTAACAACTAGAGTCGACAAAGACCGCCCCCCGAGAAGCGTATTCACGCACAGTACGCGAGGACTGTAAGTTAAGCACCCCTTGAAGCCGTGTAGCCTTTTGCCAAGAAGCTTCAAAGAACCATGGGCTTCACACTGACAGCCACAAGCCCTCCAATCCTAAACTACCCCTTGGGCTACCAGCAAAACAAAGAGACAAGCAAGTAGGCTTCTGGATAGCTGAAAGCAGGACAACCTGAATTAGGGCACTTACAATCATCCTACATTATGAGAACCACTCGGGACAAGATACTAAAGCCCTGAAGCCTAAAACCTTTCATTTTCTGCAGCGAACCCCTACACCTGAAACCTTCAACCCTAAACCCTGAAACCCGAAGCCCTAAACCCGAAACCCGATTTCAACCCTCAACTCCCAGCTCTGCGGGGCGCTGCTCGCTGGATCCTTCCTTGCTTGGGCAGGTACAGCTTATGGTTTCGCTATCGGTTTAGGGTTTAGGGTTTAAGGCTTAGGACCGCTTAGGATTTAGGGGTTGGTGTTTAGAGTTGAGGGTTGGGGTAGATGTGTCGCAGAAGGCTTATGAGTTGAACTGATTGTGCTACTTTCCATGTGAGAGATCCGCTTTGATGCAGCCTCTGGGATGAGGCTAGGCCCAGATCCAACCCCCCATACTGCAAGAGTCGTCAAGGCCTGCGCTTAGCTGCTACGTCCCCTAAACCCTAAACCCCAAGCCCGAAGTCTTAAGCCAGATTTCTTTCAAGCTGCCACCGCCCCATCTGTCCTGGCTGCCATCTGGTCTATTGGTGCTTTAGTGTTCATGGAATTGGGTCGCTCCGGTGATGGTTCTTCGTAGCGACGTCTTTCGGCGCGCAATTACGACAGTTCACAGTGCCTTGAAAGGGTTTAGGGTCTAAGTCTAGGGTCCTCATTAAAACCGATCCAGGTCTTGTATCCAATGATTGAAGCCAATGCAAGAATCCATCCGTCCAGATGCTTAGATCGCTTACTCAAGACGCAGGGCTCGTTTTGGGCCTTTTGGCGAGTGTATGTGGGGCTCCTTTTGAACATTGGTGGTGGGTGCTTGCACATTTCGGGGGAGACTACTACGACGACGACTACTATGGCTACTACTATTGCTGCTACTACTACTACTACTACTGCTACTACTACTACTACTACTACTACTACTACTACTCCTGCTGCTGCTGCTACTACTCCTGCTGCTGCTGCTACTACTACAGTACTACTACTACAGTACTACTACTACAGTACTACTACTACTACTACTACTACTACTACTACTACTACTACTACTACTACTACCACCAGCACTACTACTACTACTACTACTACTACTACTGCTACTGCTACTACTACTACTGCTACTTCTACTGCTGCTACTAGCCTAAACCCTAAACTCAAACTCCTAAACCCTAATGGGAGACTAAAATTTCAGTATTCACGCGAAGCCCTGACTTCTTCGATTGCAAGGACTTGCCTTCTTGTCGCCCAGCGCAGAGGCGAGCAGCACTTGGGGGGCTTAGGGTTTAGGGTTTGGTGTCTGCGGTATCTCCTGAATGCAAAAGCCGCCGATGCTGTCGCTCAAGACTTGAGGGCGCATGTTAGGTCCATGGGCAGCTCCCTTGCTGTTTGAATTCCGGCAGTGGTGGTCTGCCTTCAGCGGGTCGGCCTGTGCTGGCACACCTTGGGGAGCGATCCTCCTTCTGGTGCTGCTGGCCTTCTTGGGCGGTTGCTGCTGCGGTGCGATTTTCAGCTGCCTTGTGATATCAAACAGGTGCAGGCGTTTGCTGCACGAACTGCTTCAGACCTATCTGCTTGGTGGTTGGGCCGGCGAGGTCCCGCGCTTGACTCCGGAACAGCGCCTGGCTGAGTACCGGCAACATCGTGCATGAGCTCGGGCGAGGCCGACCTTGAGGCCGTGATCTTGGCACTTGGAGATCTAGAAATCTCTGTGCGCCGTCGCAGCAGACCTAGTGCTGCTGCTGATCCTGACCCCAACGAGGGCTTTGTCTTGGTGGAGGCCGAATCGGCCCGGGAACTTCGGGAACCTAGCACTGAGGAGATCATCGCTGCTCGCCTTCCTCAGGCTCTGGCTGCTCTGCATTTGCCTCAGCTTGAGGCATTGGGACGTCGACTCACAGGAGCCGGCGGCGACTGGAGTGGGAGGGCGCGAGTGGCTCGGGCATTCCGAGCTGGCCTGGGTGCAAGACTGCACCTCGCTGGTGGACGGAAGCTGGATTCGCCCAGCTTGCCTGGGCTGCGCAACGCCTACTATATCATCTTACGCGGGCCCCGGCATCCTGAGGGCTTGTGGACTCGATCTTACCAGGTGTACGCCGAGGCTGTCAGGGCGGAAGGTGCTCCGAGGGGCAGCTTCGACCGGGACAGCAGCTCACACGCATTCGCTACGCAAGCTGAAGTGGAAGCCTACTTGCTCGGAGCAGGTAGGCCATGGCCGTCGCACCAGTGAGGCGGGCGCTGACCCGTCTGGACATCGAGACCTTGGCTCAGAGCGTGCATCCAGATCGACCGCTGCCCCCTGCGTACTTGGTTCTGGCTGCCCAGGCCGATGGAGAGCAGGACACATTCGCGGCATCATATTTGCTGCGAGTGCGAGCAAATGGCTTCATGATGGCTGTGCCCGACCTCCCGCCGATTCGGACCTACTTGGACGCTTTGGTCAACGAGGACGAGGAGGCGCTCACTATGACCCAGCCCGAGCAAGCTCAGGCAGAAACCGTCAGAGGACGGCACTTGGGCCCCTGCCGAGTGCTGCTTGTGGATCTTCCTTGGGCAGGTGCCGAACACTTCGTGAAGTCAACTGCCTTGCGGGGCTTGGCGGACCGCGCCAACCGGGTTACGACTCTCGCCGTCGCCGGCCAACCTGGGCGACCCATGGCAGGGGACTTGATCGATGCTGCGAACCGTTGGGTGGACCATCTGGATCCAGAAACGGCTCAGGAGTACTGGGCTTCAGCACCGGAGGCCGCCGAGGAGATCAGCCGCCCGAGGAGGCCGAGGCGCCGGCGGCTGGGCCGACTCCTATGCCTTCGCGAACCTTGCCGCCGGAGGCCCGTGCTTCCCAGAGGCCGGCTGCGAGCCAGGGTGGAACTTTGTTCGGAGCGGGGCGAGGCCTTGGGGAAGCCGAGGTGGAGAGGCTACGTGCTTTGGCGGGGCCGGCACCGAGGGCTGGTCAAGTGGAGCGCCGGGCAGCACAGGGCTCTGGGCTGCTGGAGGATTTTCATGCGGAAGCCGAACTTGGAGCCCTGCCGCCTCCGGATGTTCAGGACCCTGGGGAGGAGGCACCTACTGCCACTACGACTTTGCAGGCGTTGCTGTTGGCGCAAATGCGCCAAAATGCGGTGCTTCTGGAGCGCCTAGCTTCTGGCAGCAAGTCGGGAGACGGTGTGCAGGACGTGCTCGCCGCCGGTGGGGGCAGCGCCAACGACAGCTCCGGAGGCATAAAAGGACACCTGGCACGGGAAGCGTTCATCAAGCAGGTGAGCGACTTGACTTCAGTGGCCAGCCGGGTGCAAGCCAATGCGCTCCAGGAGCTGGGGCGCACTCAAGCCGAACCAGGCTTGATGCGCGAGTACATCGAGAAGAGGGTTCCTCTGCAGGACCAGCGGTTGTTGCAGACCTTTGCGGCGCTGACCGCGTTCGGCTGGGAGCAGGGCTTCCGATCAGGGAACACAGAGCTGCAAGGTTTTGCGAGTCGCCTGCTCCTCTTCATCGAACAGAGCGCCCTGGACGCTGGGAAAACTCAGCTGGGTTACCTCCTGAGCGGCTATCCGGATCCTTCTCCTTTGGGTTTTACGGCTCGCCGCGCCCCTGGCCTGAAGAGCTTCTCGCGGCTGACGCCGCCCCAATGGATGGCGGCGAACCTTGCCTACCTGAAGGACCTGGACTACGCCGAGACGAGGATAGCTCAACTTGGAGCGGGCCGGCCGCCGAAGCCTCCGACGACAGACCCAGGCAACACCGCCACCGAGGAGGACGACAAGCCACCAAAACCGCCAAGGAGGCCACCACGCCGCCCCAAGAATCCCGATGCAACCACTTAGGGGGTGCCGGACGCTTTGGTTCCGAAGCTGCCAAGCAGGAGAGTCAGGACAATTGTTTCTCCAGCCGGGAGTTAGGAGCTAATGAGCCTCCGTCTTTCGATCCGCAATGCACAGCCCCGATCGACCCCCTTAAATTAGTTTCCCTTTTGGTTTCTAGTTTTTATCAGTCGAAGTCGTGTTTGACTTGGTTCACTAAGCACTCTCTTAGTAAACCTGCCTGCGCCTTAGAGGCGGTGACTCCTAGTCCCGACCTATGGCCGATCCCTCCCCCCTTGTGGATTTGGACGGCTTGCACCCGCTCCGGCCGCCGACACCGGGCGCGCCGATTGAGGCTCCGCTTGAGAACCCAGCTGCTTCAGCTTGTCGTGTGTGCTTTGAACTGGGAATGCTTAGGACATCCTCGCCGGGCTCCGGCTAACGCGAGATGCACTGCACCTGTTTCGGCCGCTCAAGCTCGGGTTCTAGAGCTGTTGGAGACCCAAGTAGATTACTTGTTGTCTGCGCCAGCCTTTGCCTCGGACGATCTCGGCCGGAGCGCCTCTAAATTCGAAGCTTTCGCAAACATGTTGCAGGAACTGCCCTCCGACCATATGTTGGGCGTGGACCTCCTTAGCTGGGCTTCTGATTTGCATGCTTCCCGCCTTCCCTACGAGCACCCTAAGGCCCCCAGTAAGGATTTACTTCGGGATTCGGGCCAGCCAGGGTTTCCTTTAGATTGCAAGGGCAACTGCTCCGAGTCGAAGATTGCTTCCTGTCCGGGCAAAGATGTGTGTGCGCCGGCTCAGTTTATCAACTTTCGCGCTGGGGGTGCTTTGCCTGTGCAGGCTGATCGGATAAAGTGGCGATATCCACCTTCCTTTGACCCTTCGCCCTACCTCAGCCCTGCCCTTAGGCACGCTTATGATTGCCCAGACAGTCTGCGACGCCCTCGTTCCGATTGGCCGCGAGTCCCACCAGCAAAACTGCACTGCACCCGATCAGAACTTTTGAAGTTGGGACGAAAGTGGGATTCTTTAGGAGCCGTTCGCATTACGCCTGCTAGTGAAGTTGATTGGTCGGAAGCTGTAGGCATTTTTGCCGTCAGCAAGAGTGCAACCCACGACCGATTGATAATTAATCCTACGGTGTGCAATAGCAGAACTTTTCCTTTCTCCCAATATTCAAAAACTTTGGCGCCTGGATGCCTTTTGACGTTGCTTAGTCTCGACCGGGAGCAGGGGTTCAGGTTCTGTGCCGATGATCTTTCGGACTACTATTATACCTATAAGGTGTCTCCTGAGCGAGCTGCTCGCAACAGTTTTCGCTGCAAGTTTGATCCCGAGGAGCTTGCTGATTTTCGGGCTGCCGAGGGCCTCCCAATGTTCGGGCCGCAATTGCTTTCTCTAGCCACTATGGCTATGGGAGATTGTCTATCGGTGGAAGTAGGACAATCTGCTCACATGCAAGTGTTGCGGCAACATGCGGGGGCCTTTGTTCCTAGCGAAACTTTGCTGTACCGCCAGCCTGTACCGAACACCTCGTCGATCGAACTCCTAGCGATAGACGACCACATAGTCCAGCAGAAGCTCCCCCTTAGTGACATCCCTAAGGCCCCGCCTCTTCGTGATACCCAAATCTTCCAAGCTTCGGGTGTTGCGTACGATCGTGTTGGGCTTGTGTTGAACGATGACAAGAAGCGTCGTAACTTGACTCGTGGTGTCGTTTTGGGTGCTGAGCTGGACGGTGAACGAGGGGTGATCGGCCCGCCGAGACAGAAGACCTTGAGCCTGGCTCTTTTGACTTCGCTCGTCGCAAAACGCGGCCATGCAACAAGGGAGCTTCTGGATCGGATCCTCGGCTGCTGGGTTCATTCGCTGATGTTCAGGAGGCCGGTGTTTGCGGTTGTTGACCACTTGTTCCGCGAAGGGTCAGGGCTTGCTCGTAACAGCAGTTTTCGGTTGTCACCTGAATCCCGAAACGAGTTGTTGATGCTTGCATGCCTTTGCCCCACTTTGCTGACCGACTTGAGAGTGCCATACGATGACCAGTTGTTTTGTCTTGATGCGTCTCCTACGGGGGGAGCTGTGTGCAGCACAACCATCGGGCCGCAGGCTTCGGCTGAGTTTTGGAGACACGGCGAGCTGAGGGGCTACCACACACGGTTGCAGAGCGAGGTCTCAGCCTTGTTAACCGAAAAGGGCATCGCGCATCCTAGCGACGATTTGTTCGGGGCCCATGGCACGCTTCCAGCTGACCTTCAACCCTTCCCTAAGTTAGACCCCTTAGTGCCGCGCCCGGTGTGTGAACAACCCATCTTCGATGTTGTGGTTTTAAGCGCTAGGGATGATACGTGGGCTAGGGCTTTCGAGGGAGCCGGATTGCGAGTGCTTCGGCCGCTCACTGATGGCCTGAATGGTGCGGCTCCTCGTGCTTTGACGGCTTCGCTTGTGCGGGAGCTCGCCGGCCTCGCCTGTCGGCGTGTCGTGAAAGAGTGGCATTGCAGCGATCAGTGGGCTGCATTTGCACCTTTGGGAAGGTTGCGGGCTGCTGCTCGCACGCGTGACTCTGCAGCTTCTGCTGACGAAAGTTGCGACGACTTCTCGTTTGCCAGGCGGGTTGGGTTGCTTTTTACTGTAGCCGTTCGTTGCAATCAGTGGGTTTCTGTGGAAAAGCCCTCGCGCAGCAAGGTCTTTCAGATGCAGTGCTTTGCAACTCTCGCTCGTTTGGGATGCGTGCTGACTAGCTACACCCACTGCGGCTTTGGCAGCCCCTTCTTGTGAAGCGGTGTCCACGAGTTCGCTCAGGAGCTCCCTTTCGGGCTTTGGAGTCGTATCGGTAGCGGCGCTGCGGCCGCTCACCGAGGCCATGTGCCTCATGTGCCTCTGGAGGCGCGCTTAGCCACTGCGAAGCGCCTGGGCATCGACTTGGGCCTGGCTTGTCTGGAAACTGTTGCCGACGAGCGACCGCTTCCGAATCGCGACTGGTTCGAGGATCCGGAGTGGATTGCCGAAGTGTGTCAAAGTCTTCAGTTCCATGAGCTCTTTCGTTATAGGTTCGCTAAGCCAGGGCACATTAATGTGAACGAAGCTCGGGTTTTTAAAAGCTGGGTTAAGTCTCTTACTCGTCGTGGACGGCCCGTTCGGTCCACAGGTCTCCTAGATTCCCGTGTGACGATTGGGGCTGCGGCGAAGGGTCGGTCCAGCAGTTACGCTATTAGCCGGGTTCTTCAGGGGTGCCTCGGGTTTGTCCTTGGTTCGGGGATCTACTACAGCCTGTTGCACTGTTACTCGGAGGACAACGTTGCTGACCCGCCGAGCCGAGACCGGGCTGTGGAGCCACCTCGCAAACAGCTGCCTTTGTGGCTGTCTGAGCTGTTGCAGGGCCATCCCAGGAAGTTTGAGAATGTCGCAGCTTCAGCAAGAATCCAAAAGAACCCTGCTCGCTGGTTGCGGTTCCTTTTGTTGCTGTGCGGCGACATTGAACCTCACCCTGGGCCGGTTCAGTCGAGGCAGCCTCGCGGTCCACTTGACCTTCAAGCCGGCTTTGCAAGCAGCACTGCGCACAAGATGCGCAAGAGTCTGGACGGTTTCTTGAAGTGGCTGAAGGAGGAAGCCGGCTGCGACGCTGACTCCGTCTTTAAGACTTCTGAGCACACTGCGCTTGCTCTCCGCGGCTACGGGCTTCACTTGTACGCCACTGGCCTTCCCAGGTATTTGTATGTATATGCAATCACTGCGATTCAGGATTTGCACCCTCAACATCGCAACTTTCTTACTGCTGCCTGGCAGGTTGATAAGAAGTGGCAACGCGCAGAGCCCGGGGCTTGCCGACCAGTGCTGCCGGTTGCAGCGATCCGCGCTGCAATCTCTCTTGGGCTCTTGTGGGGTTGGTTTCGCTGGACTGTTTTACTGATCCTGGGATTCCTTGCCATGCTGCACCCTGCTGAGTTGGTCGCGCTCACACGGCGCGATTTGGTTTTTCCTGAAGACACACTGGGCCACACGCGCTGCTTGTTTGTGCATCTGAGGAACCCCAAGACAAGTCGCTTCGCGAGACGCCAACACGGGAGGATTGATGATCCTGCTGCAATCCGCTTTATCTATACTGTTGCAGCGCATTTGGGGCCTGACGACAAGCTCTACCCGGCCTCGCTCAGCAGTTTCAGAAAGCAGTGGAACGCAGTCTTCGAACGGCTGGGTCTTCCTATCCGTGCGTCGGATCGTGGAGCCACTCCTGGCGTGTTGCGCGGTTCTGGAGCAACATTCTTCTATATCGAGACGGAGAATATACCGCTCCTCGCGTGGCGGGGAAGATGGGCTCGAGTGCGCACCCTCGAGCACTACCTGCAAGAAGTCGCTGCTCAGGTATTGCTCTCAGAGGTTTCTGCGACTTGCCGAGCGCGGATCAAGAGCTTGGATGTTGTGGCCGATGATCTTTTGTCTTTCTACAGTGGTGCTCCGCAGTAACGTAGGGTTGGAAATCTGTACATGTACTTTCCGAACTTTTAGGTTCGAGCCCTTTTGGCCCTTGCTGTCGAGACACTCCAGCAGGCCAGCGGCTCTTGAGGCCTTCCGCGGCTTTTCCTTGTGCCGCTCGGGAAACTTCACAGCATGCAGGCACAAATGAGGGAGATGTCTGCGGTATCTCCTGAATGCAAAAGCCGCCGATGCTGTCGCTCAAGACTCCCACCCATCCCGCCCGAGGCGGAAATCTGTACATGTACTTTCCGAACTTTTAGGTTCGAGCCCTTTTGGCCCTTGCTGTCGAGACACTCCAGCAGGCCAGCGGCTCTTGAGGCCTTCCGCGGCTTTTCCTTGTGCCGCTCGGGAAACTTCACAGCATGCAGGCACAAATGAGGGAGATGGAGCTTAGGGTTTAGGGTTTAGGGTTTAGGGGCTTAGGGTTTAGGGTTTCGGGTTTAGGGTTTATAGAGTTAGAGGTGTTTTCTTGAATTGCTTTGGTTTTGGTTTTCATTGCGCAGAATCTTGCTTAGGAAGCATTGGGTTTGCAGGACGTTCGTA